GTTTTTTGTAGGTGATAATTATTCTCTTGCATGTAGGTGTCTGCAGTGCTGGTCCGTGGTCTGTTAGGAGCTTCTAAAGTACAGGCTGAAATGTTCTGGGAGTAGGCCTCAAACGGGAGCTGTTTGTTTTGGAAATAAGTAGTTTGTTCTTCCTCAAGCCGGAGACGGCATGTCCTTTTCTCGGTCTGGGTGAAGTCACGTGTCTCCCTGCTTATGTAGCCCTGCTCCTTAGTGCTTCAGCTTTCTGGGAATTTCACAATGTGTGAAGGGACGCCTGGTGTATGAGGGCCAGAAGCCCCCACCGGCTCAGATCTCATTTCTGTCCCCCCCCCCCTCAGGCCTACTTTCCACTGTGGGTCTTTGTGCATGTGCCGCGGTCCAGCTCAAGGACGAGCGGCCGTGCTTATCGGCCCGCCTGCATGCGGCGATGGTGCGTGCAGGCGGTATGTGGAAGAAGTTGGTCATTAACTCGCTTGCCACGTGGCGCTGATGCTGTGGCCTTGTACCAGTCTGCTTGGGTGACTTGTGATCCAAGGGTTCTGTGTTTGTTGAAAGTTGTGCCCTGATCTAAATTAAAACGAAAAAGTGCACTGCATTCTCAGGAAAAAAGGGTAAATATTTGTATCTTTGTTTGTCACTAGAGCAGTACCCTCGAGTCTGCTAATTGTACCCTAGCTGTAGGTAATTGTTCCTTTTTAAGATACAGAAATGGGCTCTGAGGAACATTTATTGGTACATTAATGCTGTTTGTACCTTTGGGATGTTCCTCACAGTCAATTTCTATACCTTAAAAGGTACAATTACAAGGGTACAGTCCCACTGACATGCAAAGGTAGGGATTTTTTTCCCCCTTTTTTTTTTTTTTAGAGTGTGTAATACTCAGAATAAAACTCCGCCCACCCAGGTCCCACCGTAATCTCATTGGTCCAGCCTCTGTCCTACTGTCAGTGGACATTACACGTCTCCCTCCCCTTGTCTTCTAGGCACACAGCTGGCTGGTTCCCATTCCGCCGGATGCCTGTGGTCCCTGGGCCACGTGAGCAGGCCCCAGAGCTGGTCCAGAACCAGGACAGAGACCCAGAGCTGGTAAAGGCAAACTCTGCTGTATGGGAGTTAAATATGGAGAATAGTCTACAGGGAAATAAGCAGAATTGACTATTTTGGCTAGATCTGTCCCATTTTGCAAAGTTGCGAGAAAAGTTTATTTATAATGCCACCCCCCCCCCCCATGAGTGACTTTTGAGGACTTTTACTTTGAAATGAAGGCATAGCTTCAGGTCAAGGTGAACTGCATTCATTGGATGATTTCCTCCCATGTTGACCATTAATACTGCTGGATACTTAAGCTGTTTGTTGTGTGCTGTAGGACCCCTCCTTTTCAGGTTAGGAGTCCATGTCCTGCTATGCTCCCCCCAGTTAAGGGTGTATCTCCGCCATCTTCCTCGCAGGTGCATGTCCCAGCGGGAGGGGCTGATGCAGAAGATGGGGATGGCAGAAGGCCCTCTGAGCCAGTGGTGTTGCAAGTCCCTCGTTTGTCCATCTTCCAGACGGCCTGGGTCTTCTTCAAGGCCTTTTTCGCCTCGCTGGTCCCCGAGGCCCCGCAGGGCATAGCGAACTGACCTTTGTATCAGCACTCCATGCCCGTGATCGGAAGGTCGCCAGTTCAAGTCCCATGGCTGCCCGAGTCATGGCACTCGAGCAAGGTCCTTAATCTGTGATTGCTCCACGGACCGGCTGACCCTGATTTCCAGAAATGTATGTTGCTTTGGATAAAAGAACCAACTGAATTTAACGTACTGTCACTCTTCTGTTAGAGACAGACTTCACTTTTAGCAGAGGGTGACTCCTGACTGTTCCTACAACTCGCAACACATTTTTGGACGAGGTTCTCCTGCCCCTCCAGCTTAACCCTTGGTACCGCGTCCCAGAATGCACCAGGAATTTCCTGTTCGGCCCACTGCAGGTGCTGTAAATCTGCATGGACCACTGCAGGTACTGTAAATCTGCATGGACCACTGCAGGTACTGTAAATCTGCATGGACCACTGCAGGTACTGTAAATCTGCATGGACCACTGCAGGTACTGTAAATCTGCATGGGACTCCAAAGGCTTACAGGAGCGCACAGCCGTCTGTCCTCATTTTATGTTTTATTTCCTCCAGCACGCCTTAGGCGTCGCTAAAACGAGCACCGCTCTGAAAACGCCTGTCCTGATTGGAGGCCTTTGACCACTTTCCCGCCAGCTTCTGTTTTCTAACTGTTAAGAAACTGCGTTGGACCACAAGCGGTCGATTTGCGTCTCTCGGACAAAGCGTTTTGTCGGCATGCTGTTTGGGTTAATTATGTAAAAATTGCTATAAATCCTTGATTAATTTTCTTAAATTCTGTACGTTTTATTTAAATTATGACCCTTTTATGTTGTAATCAGAATTTGTGTACAGTATAATTCCTTTTGGGATGATTTTCTTTTGTAAACGTAAACACATACACTAAGTGTACTTCTGTTCTAGCCTGTGCCTGCCTATCGGGCTGTTCATTTATTTACATTGTACCATATGTATCTGATTCTGTAAGTGTATATTAAATATTTAACAGCTTATGTATGTCTTAAACGTTTGTGCAGAATGTTTCATTATTCTTGGATAAGAACACGATGTTCTTGTTGTCATTCTGAAGTTTACTTAAGGGTGTAAGTACACGGCCTGCACGGGTCTTGTGGGTCTTGGCCTCTCCTGGTTTGGTTCTAACTAGTCTAAGCATTCATCTTCCAGCTAAGTTTTTACTTGAGACCCCCCCCCCTCCCCCAGGACTACTCTGCTGGGGGGGGGTGTACTCTTTGGAGTAAAAAAGCAAACTGCCAGCTAACTATACAATCCATCAGAAGTCTCCCCCTTACTGAGCAACGTCCATGTCTACTTGGGAGGTGGAAAGACTATCATGTTTCTGTTGTTCCTCCCCAGCGAGCTTGGAGAGGTGCCTGCATTTCTTCGTTCACTCCTGGGGAGGGTCAGAGCTGCCTCCCTACTGTCAGTCAGTTGAAACTTCTGACTGGAAGATCAACATGGCGTCTACTGCGAGGTGCGGCAGCTTATGCAGGGAATGCGAGTTGTGCTCCAGTGCCTTTGGTATCACATGCCAAACGTCCTGTGATCGCACTGCTGCGCATTTCCTTTGGTTTGCATGCAGCCGCTAGACACCTCTGTCGATGTGGTGCTGGTGTAGCAGTGCATCTTGGGAAAGACTCATTCCCACATATGCTGCACACTGTCACATTATCATCCACATGTACTTTGTGTCCCTACCCAGCACCTGTAACATAACCCAGTTTAGTGTCCTGTACCTGCTGCAAAACCTTGGCCCTTATACTGCCAGGGATGTGGTTGTGTGCTCACAGCCTGTGAGTTATGCGTACCTTTGGTTAGTATTTTTCAACAGAGTCCTAAGGGAGCCCCAGACAGTTGATATTTTTGCTCCCTCTTAGTGCACAGCACACCTGAATCAAGCAATGGAGACACGGAATGCCTGGTACGGTTGTGCTCAGAGCTGGGAGGGAGCAGAAATGTGCACTGTCTGGGGCCCCTGAGGACCGGGTTGAGAATCACTAGATTAGATCATGTACAGCATCTTGAGTATACATTCCTATTATCATTGAATGTACAGTGTTGCTAGGCAGCGCTAGACATTCCGAGGGATTGATCCTCACTGGATTCCCTTCCTCGGTGTTTAAGCTGCTTCCTCCCGTTCTGGCTCCAAGGGGCCTGTGTCACCCTGACCCTAACCCCACTGTGGCAGCAGCGTTCAGCACTGCCGGCTGTTTGCCTCCCTGCCTCTTGCATAATTTCCTCTGAAGCCCTCGGAGGAGGCAGAGAAGTCTTAAGGAGGCCGGATGAACAGCTGGGATGTGCGGACCATGAACTCTGCACACCATTTTCACTGTGGAAAAAGACACCGTGCTTCGCCGTGGTGAAATACCATGCCTGTGCGCAGGCAAAGTCGAATTTCACATCCAAACCCACAATTACAATTAGTAACAGAAATGAATTGATAAATATTTTGAAACTAATGGTTTATTTGAAACCTTTTTTCCTACTTTCAAATATTTCACCAGGATGTTAGGAAACTTTGCAAGAAAACAGCTTAACTTTGTGACCTGATCAAATCTCATTAATTTTTTTTATGATAATATTTGTTAAATCCAATAATGTGAAACTTGTTTAGCTTTCATTTAACCCTGTTCGTGTCTCCTGAGCCAGCACAGCTGAGGTAAGCAGGCTGGGATATGATGGGCTCAATGCGAGAGGCTGATTTGGATCATTCTAAAGGTTAGTTCTTGTGAATGTTGGTATGTATTTGAAGTGAATTGAGAAGTTTTCCAGTATGGGGAAGTAAAACAGTCCAGAAATTGTTTAGGGGCTTTTCCATAATGTATGTGTGTCTGAGAGCTATTGGACGTTTCTGAGGGGGGTGGGGTCTTGGTCGATCCTACATCCAACCCCTCCCCCCCCCAAAAAAACCTTAGGCCCCCAACCCCCACTAGTCTCTGAAGCCCTGTATGGATGATTCAAAGCAGCACCCCCACCCCCGACACCCACCCCGATGAGGACGGCCCCACATGCTGAGCCCTGCCCCCCCCTCCTAACTGCATACAGCCCGGCTTGCCCCGAGGCACAGGATCTCTCGAGCGGTCGGACGGATCACACAGGCAAAGACAGTCCAGCTGCTGCTATGGGGTTCTCCACTCTGCTCCTGTTCCTCAGCCTCACTGGGCTTTCCTGGTCATGCCTGGACCCCAACTCTGCATACAGGATCACCGGTGCCGTGTGCCGGCTCACTTACCCAGCAGCACTGGCGTGTAAGTACAGCCTGCTGAGCTCTCCGACTACAGATCTATGTGTCTCTACAGATCTATGTGTGTCTCCATTCCCCTGTCTGTCTCACTCTGTGCCGGTATATAACACCATCTACCTGTAGGGGTCTCCCTTATCTACAATACTAATGTATGTAATATTCCATGTAACTAACATGCTAGCTACCATGTGTTATCACACCTGGTTCCTCAGCTTAGGACAGCCCCTCCCATTGTGGGTTTCGGAGCTTCAGTTCTTTGACCACTGTTATTAAAATAGTTCTTGTCTAGCCTCGTCTGTTTTGCCTATTTAACTACTTCCTGGGGGCTCTTGCTGAGGTGTTCCTGTCATGCTATCTGGTTTGGAGCAGACTAGTATATTTCATTGAATTATGAAAATGTCATTGTTGACACACCACAACAAAATGTGTCCTTTGCATTTAATCCATATGTGACATAGCAGGGGGAAGCTATTGTTTAGCACCTGGGGAGCAGGGCTTGGGGGCAGGACCTTGCTCAGGGTACCTCAGCGGTACTGTGCACGTGAGGGATTCAAACCAGCAACCTTCCAAACCATTAGGCCCCACAGTCAGGTAATTGTTCAACCTAATACTAATCAAATAATAAAATTAATTGTTTAGTAATAAACTTTATGTGACAAATAGGCACGCCTGAGTGTGAGAATACATTATGGGTTGGCCTCTAACATATTAAAGAAATTATTTTTTCACGTGCTTCTCAAAACAAGGGACTTCTCTGAATTCTGTTCACCCAGTAACCCAGTATCAGTGACTGTCCTTGGGGCTTGTATTACGGTGAAAAATTACTGCCCCTTTTATCATCTGCTGCTTTATAAGAATTGACCTGGAAAAGGGTGAAATGTAACCCAACCCGATGGCCTGTGAGAATACGCCGGTGCACCGGTGCGGTTTAACAGGGTACCGCCTTGCCGAATGCAGCGGGTCCTGTGAGCGGCGGGCAGCACGGTTCCCACTGACGAGGATGGTGACCTCCTTGGTGTCCGGTTACTGAAGGCAGACCTACACACTGCGCTGTCTCCACAGTGAACGAGAAGACCACCAGTGTGATTGAGGCTGCGTTCCAGCACGCCCGCTACCCCAACATGGCCGGAGAGTCCTCCTTCTTCTTGGGGAAGGTGCATTACAATCTCAGCAAGTGAGTTGGACTTCCATGGTCCCAAAAGGTGCTTGAAGACATACATGTGTAAAGACGTCCACTTCCAGTTTACTTAAGAGTAATTGATGTAGTGGCCAACATTCTCCTCATATTCAAAAATGTTTTTTTTACATTTCGTTTGATCTAAAGTAACAGTAGCGATAGATTTGATAACAATGTTATTTTTCAACACACATTACTGCTGACATTGTGAAGATTTCCCACCTTGCCTTTTGCAATGGAGACTCTAACCCCTGTTTGTAACCCTTAAATTGCACCGCAGCCTGGAAATCCACGATCTGTCCATTGGGGGGAGCAGGGTGGAGCTCAAGGAGAACGATCACATCGGACTCTCCATCTCCAACGTCTCTGCCGTCTTCCAGGGAACCATCCTCTATGGATATGGAAGCTGGCTGTAAGTCTTTTTGCTGTTCGCTCCATCTCAAAATATCTTCGTTGTCATCTTATATTGTTGTCATCAAAATATCTTCTATTTGTTGTCATTTTATATGGTGTATGAGCCATACAATTTCAATCTTGTCATGGTGCAAGAAACAGCAACAAACTGAATCTAAACATGTAAGGCATTTAAACATGACATATTGAGATATGGATGTACAACACCCAACTAGCCTTGCATGTGAACTTTTTACATTGTTCAGTTTGATAAACTGCTCCATGGTGTTTAAAGTTTCACCAGAGGGAAGTTAGCTGCCCATTTCAGTGACCTGGAGAAGCACAGGGCATAAGGCCCTAGTGCCCTTGAATGCAACACCAGTCACTTAATTATTAACCTTAATTTTAAAATGCTATTCAATAAAAAGTGTACACCAGAAAAAAAAATTCACCTCTGTTCAACAGCATAGGCTTTGGACATTCGGTGGATTTTGAGATTGAATCCAACATTGATCTGGTTGTCAACCCCAGGCTCCGTGAGTACACCCCTACCTGCCAGTGCTCTCAGCCGACCCTCATGCACGCGTTTTTGGTTTAATTAAACACAGGCATCCCATAATGGCATAATATGAGACATAATGATTTCTGGGAGGTGGTTGAGGGACAGCCAGGAGAGGGGGTGCTGGCTATACTTGAGAGGTGTTCAGTAACACAGTAGACCTATATCACAGTATTTTCGTTCGAAAATACACCAATCCCCTGCTCATTGAGTTTTGTCAGGAAATACCAGAATAGCGTTGATTTTTAAAAATACCATCAAAATACCGTATACCACTGTATGGACAGATGGTATGACTGCATTAAAAATGAGAGCGTTAAAAAATTTGGTGGGGGGCAGGGGGGGGGAGGTATGGGCACTAAAATTTGCGGACTGGCTTTTGATTTATTCATTTTGTTGTTTGTTGTTCTCAGAAATTCAATTAACAACAAAGTTTTCTTGTGGTGGTAAAATTTACCGAGCAGGTGAGGTGGGGTTGTGGCGTAAAGCTTTTGCCTTGTTAATTTTACCACCGCTGAATAGCGGAATGACAATTTTTGAGGACATTTCAGGTCATTACGAATTTTCGTTTTACAGGGTGGCTTGAGGAAACTGATTAATATTCTTGAGAGAAGCTACCGGATTGACCTGTGAACTGTATGTATGGCATTCACTGGCCAATCAGATAGTGCTTCTCTTATGTATATTAACGAATGCTCCCAAACCACCCGGTAAAATGAAAATTCACCGCACCACCCGGCGGGGGTGTCAGGGAGTTGCTGGGAGACTCGCACAACTTCCGGGAGCGATGGGATGTCTGTTAATGTATGATGCTCAAACAGTGAGTCTAGTTGAATATACTACTGTGTATGAATGGGATGTATACAGCTTTAGATTTAAATTCTGCACGTTAAAATGCTTCCGCCGGCTCCTCCTGACCAGTCTCTGTGAGGCTTGTTGATTAAGGACAGAAATAAAGTGCTGTGTTGGCAATGAACATTCTGGGAAATTAACAATTAACAATGTTTCATGTGAAAACATTTGCAATTATCTCAGTTCAACAATGCTTTGTGGGAACCCAACTCGCGTGAATCGCCTAGCGCTGTATGACTGTGCGCTATGACACAGCACTCTCTGGTGGCGACTCGCTCATACTCGCCCCCCCCCCCTCTCAGACTGTGGGAATGGAAAAGTGGCTGCTGACACGTCTGATTGCTACCTCACCTTCCACAAGCTGCAGCTCCTTCTACAGGGAGACCGAGAGTGGGTAGCCGAAATGAACCCCCCCCCCATATCCCCCATTGTGTGAACTTTATAACCTTGTGTTCCAGTACAAAGATTCCATAACAGATACTGGTGATTTCACAGATATTAATAGTGAGCGTTATGTCTGTGGTCTGTCCACACCAGCAGCATAGTGCAGAACTCGTCACCAATGTCGAGCTTTAATAGATTTGGCTATGACAAATTAGTATTTTATATGATATTTTAAAATACTGTGCTGCCATGGATAAACTTGATGTTCAGCAGATGAATAATTTGAATGAATATTTAATATCTGTGACATGGGTAATTTTGGTCTTCTAAAGCCAGTGATTTTTATTTGCTTGTATACAGGCCAGGGTGGCTCAAACGGCTCTTCACAGATTTTGTCACATTCACAGTCAAGATGGTCGTTAAGAGCCAGGTTAGTATTATGGGATGGCAGATGGCGATCGGTTCAAATGTGGTGATGGGCATCCTTAACCATTGTCTTGTATGGTTCAGAAAATGGAGTGAAACTGCTGAAAATATTGCATTTCCAGGAATATCCAAGTGGGGGTAAACTCTGAACTAGTGTGTGATGTACTGTGTTGGTGAAATGCTGGTGCCACCTGATGGTTGGTTTTGGAGCCACATATCCACACGCTGGAGGTTAAGAGGACTGCTGTTTGTACAGACGCTCCTCTACTTACGAATGAGATACTTTCCGAATGGGCGTTCGGAACTTGAATTGTTCGTAAGTCATTTTTCAACATCATTTTAAGGGCATACGCAAGTACAAAGAACTAGGATGCTGGGAGTTCGCACGCTACGCTGCTGCGCGGCGGGAGTAGCGGCCAGAAGTCATACTAGGTGGGATTGGCGGGAAGAAAAAAAAATTAATGTTGCGGACAGGAAACAGGAGCCCAATGAACACAATTTGGGCTTACAGTCCTCTTTGTTCGTATGTCTGAAAGTTCGTAAGTTGAAAGTTCGTAAGTTGAAAGTTCGTAAGTTGAAAGTTCGTAAGTAGAGGAGCGCCTTTATTTGTACTGTGAACACGCTTGTTACAAACCACCGGCTACTAGGGAAGAGTAACATTTCTGTGTCCTTGTTTTTTTTATTTCAGATCTGTAAAGAGATTAATAAGCTTGCTGATATACTTGCTGACTTTATACAACATACTGCAGGTTTGTCTTGGATCAGTGATGATCTGTCAGGCCGTGCTAAATGTGTGGCGTTGAGTAAGTCATGCTCTTCAATAAATCTTGCAGAAAACTTCCTGAGTGATGGCGATATAGGTGTGGATATCTCAGTCACTGCTCCCCCAGTCATCACATCCAATTACATAGAGTCTTATCACAAGGTACCCCCCCCCCCACACCATCCAATAACAGGCCGTGATACTGCAGCACAGCCAAAACAGCATTTGTCATTTGAATGGAAAGCATTCTTACTCGGATAAGTGGGACATAATGGATGGATGGATGGATGGATGGCATTCTGACATCCTCAGCTGCATAAATTTCACTGTCTGGTTGTTTTTCTGATACATTTATGTTTATGACTAGATAAGTGGTTGAATCTTTTACATCTTGTTAATTTAATGTGGCTTGTATGTGTGGTACGTTGTTTGGCATGCATTCCGTGATAAGATGCCTCATTAATTTGTTGTGTTCTGATGTCATGAGCTGCATGACCCTTTTCCCATGATGCCTAGGGAGTAACCCACTACCACAACATGACGGCGGTCATCAATGCCTCTGTGTTCACCCCTGCCCGGCTGACAGAGGACCGCATGCTGTACTTCTGGTTCTCAGATGATCTCCTGGAGCCTCTGGTTAAAGTCGCTCATCTCGACGGCCGCTATGAATGCAGCATTACCGGCCCTGAACTCCTGGTGTGTGTGTGTGTGTGTGTGTGTGTGTGTGTGTGTGTGCGTGCTGCCACACTCTGAGCAGATACATTACTGCAGTGTTTCCCAATCGGCCCTACTTCTGTGTTACACTTTCATTCTATTTCTGAATATTATTTCAGGATCTTTTCAAAGTGGACCTCTCTACAGCCAAGCCAGCTCTTCTGGAAGAGGTACATTTATTTGGTGAAGGTTATTAAGGTCTTGCTTAATGATCTAAATTCTGATGCCGGCTAAAACCTGAATTATGTGATATATATTTGTGTTCCTTGATGCCTTGGAGTCCGTGTGGCCAGATATGAGGTAGTGAAATGGCATCAATGGATTTAGTTTGTACTTTACATTTCTCTTTTTGAATGATCACTTATCCCTTAGTAATAAAGCCCACTTCATTCTGATTGGACTGATCACTTTGTTTAAACGTGACCAAATTTGTAAGATTCAGGAGGTAGGAAGTCCAAGCTGTGCTCTTTATCTAACAGCTCCCATCCTTGGTTGAACGCGGCTCTATTTGTCATTTTTGGGGCTACCAAAAAAGAGGTTCTCATGATAACCTTGTGCAGTGAGGATAACAGTGTATTTTGTTTTTCCTGCTTTATTTTGACAGCCAGTAACAGGAGTCACCGGTGTGTCTGTTGTGTCTTTAAGCTGTTGTCCACAGAGGCACCGGAGCTAAAGGTGCGCAGTGTGACCGACCCCCATCTCTGGACGACCGCCCAGGGCACGTTTGTGCGAGGGACTGCCTCAGTGGAACTGACCGGGGGCCTCGGCACCCCCCCACTCTCCTTTAAGGCGGTAACCCCCCCCCCCCCGCAAACATTCCCAGCTTCCACATGACATGGGCACTGGGGAAATCAAATGTGATTGGTTCATGTGACTTAAATCAACTGTAAATTTTTCCCTCTTTTAGGAAGTGAAGGTGCTCGTGACAGCTTCCTACGCTGACAAAAAACTGATCCTGAGAGTCAAATGTCCCCAGAGCGCCCCCAGAGAGCAGTGGTATAAAGTCAAACTTAAATACTAGCATTACCCATACAGAAATGACTATGGCTCAGTAGGGGGTTACAGAAGACTTTCTAATATAGTCTAGATCAGGGTTTCTCAACCTTTCCAAGTGCAAGACCCCTCTATTCATCACTTATGCCATATTTCATTTACTTGGTATCTTTCTTGGCCGGCAACCGGGTTTTCATCTGTGCAGCAGCACATTACGGTCCAGACCACACTTCCCTGCCATGGCCAGAGGCCACTCGCGTTGAGAAACCCAGGTCTAGATATTTAAGAGTAAACAAAAACGAACATAAAACGAAACGCAGCAGACGATGCCACAGCTCAGCATCCAGCATCCGACTGTTTGAAAAATCACCCAGTAAAATGTTGTTTATCTCTTTGAAAGCATTTCCATCCTGGAGCAGTCAGTCTCACCCAAAACCCTCCAGGTAACCCTTTGCATGATGGGAAGTCGGCGGAAGGTCTCCGTCCTTTTATCTGTCTAACCCATATTTCCTGGCTCCAGGATGGCCAACTGGAGTACTTAAGAGAGGCTGTTGAAAAGATAGGCATCCCAAAAATCACTTCCTGTGAGTTTTTGTGTTTGTCCCACTTTCTCCAGATATGATCTGTCATTTAATCAATAGTAATCATCTCGAAGATTAACTTAAACTGCAGAAGTTTGTGCTGGACGTCGGTAGTCGATCTTTTCTCTGACTTCTGTGTGATTACATTTATCATCTCAGAAAGTACTGGTGTTTATGTAAAGTGTAATTAAAGTATAAATAAAGCCTCTGGATTTTGAATCTTACTGCTTATGTTGACGGGAGGCATAAAGCCGTGTCTTAAGTCTGACTCTTCTCAATCCAGTGCTCACTGCCGCCGCTGTGTGTTTACTGACTGGGCTGTATATTTTTCCCCAGACCTGGAGACGGGGATCACTGTCCTAATGAACAAACAAGGGCTGGATCTGTTTGATATCATCAACCCTGTTGTGTTACCCCAGGAGGTAACGTAACCCTTGGTTAACTTCACCCATTTTTCAATAAGCCATTAAATCTCAGGCTTCAGCATTTTCTGTTTGCAGTGTAAGAAGCTCTTTACCACATAATGCAGAGTGATTGTGTGGGTGTGTGTGCATGCGTGTGTGTGTGTGTGGATTAGGTTTATATTGCATTGTGGGGACCAAATGTACCCCACAATGTGATAAAAACCTCTTATTTTGACGTTATGGGGACCATTTTTCAGGTCCCCACAAAGATCTGTCAATGCAATCAATATACTAAAAATGCCAAAAGTCTTGTATTTTGTATGGTTACTTATGGTTAAGGCTGGGGCTGGGTGGGGGTTAAGGTCGTCATGTTGGGATTAGAGTTTTCCCCATAGAAATGAATGGAGAAGTCCCCACAAAGATATAATTACACGTGTGTCTGTGTGTTTATTCAGTTACTGCATTATTTAAATAGCTATTGATGTGAGAGATAAGGCAACAAAAAGAATCATCATATGAACTGGATAATTTTGCTTCTGATTTGATATTTTATTAGTTCCCATTGGGTGAAATTAGGCAGTGACTGACAGCAGGCAATTTCTGGCACAGTGAAGCTCCGTCTCGCTCTTTCCATCTGTGCAGGGCTATGTCGTGGTGCAGGTGGACTTTGGATTCCCTCATCATTTGCTTGTTGACTTCCTTAAGAAGACACTTGAGTGACAGGAAGTGCAGTGCACTGTAAGAACTCGCGTCACACATCTATCACAGTGACTCAACATTGACCCAATTTGTACAACTATACATTTTACTGGATGCACTCAGGTTAAGTGTCTTGCGAAACAGCACAGCCCTTGGGACTCAAACATATCCATGTCCTTATTATGCCGCGCTGTGCTGTGCTGTGCAATCAAATCCCAGACAAGGGCCATTTTGGAGGTGTGGTAACATATTCAGTTATCACTTGATCCGCCATAGAACAGGTTTGCAGAGCCTGTCTCTTGTGTTGTGTATGTATATATTGATATTACTCTTATCCTGGAAGTATTCTATACTCCAGATACTCGTGTTAGGTTTATGAGATTTTGAGTTGCTTTGGGCCTCATTGTCCGTAATATTGACATGACTGTTTAACAAACTTCCTAATGATTTCCAAGAAATAAAGTACTCTTAAATGCTAAAATGTACATTTCTGTGACCACTAGACATGGAATTCCATTTTTGAACAATACTGCTATTTTAAACAATGTAGCACTGACTGTTGTCACAGTGACATAGTAAAATGGTAAAAGTCAAAAAAGCTTTGATAGCCCAAGTTGTTGGCAAAGGAGCAATGGCAGCAACACTGATTATTTAAAAGTTAAATTTGGAACCATTGAAATCTTTTGAAATGAGTGTGTTTAAGGGCTGTCAAAACCTGTATACTGTTATTATTCATTGTACAAGTGCATTTTGTGACTCACTATTAAATTCACTAGCCACCTTCAACACCAGTGAGTCTTTACTTATCTCTGAAGGTGACATTATGCATTGGTGATCTGAAATTCTTTACCATCAGATGAGTTATGAAAGCTGTGTTCAATTTTATATTTAAAGAAGTTGAAGAATGTTAAACTGGGCCTTGCTGTCTAACTGTACTCTGCTCAAATGAATACTTTTAAATACAAAATGCAGCTTAACAAAAATGGTTTCTAATCAGTTTATTCTATATTGCTGCACACCACACTGAGCACTTTCAGCTTTATCGTCGTAATTGTTGATCACAGCCTGTGTTTTCTTTTATGTACACTTTTTGGAAACGTATTAGTGTCACGCTCTGGGGGTTTCTGACATGGGGGCGAGGCGTGGTGCAGGCAGGGAAGGAAGGTGGACGATCCACTGACCACTACAGGGGTTTATTAAGAGAACTGAAAACACTCGGAGCACTACTAAAACAAACAGACCACGAGGAATCAAAAGCAAAATAGGAAAAACAAAGGCTAACTACCAAAGGTCAGGGCAACAAGGAGCAGGCAGGGAACCAAAAACCAAACACAGTCAACAAGAACATCAGCAACAGCACCATAAACAACAACAATGACTCCACCAGGAACAGAACAGGATCAGGAACTTTAATACAGAGGGCTAACAAGAGTAAC